TTTGGAAAGTCGGGGCCGGGGGTGCCGACCCCCGACCCCCGGGACCCCCGTCGGGGCCCCGGGTCCGGGGGTTGACAACCCTGGTGATAGATCCCGTGTGTGAAGGTAAGACGTACCTCGCGTGACCCTGTCTTGTCGTAGGGGCTCGCGAGAGGTACGACTGATGCACTCGGTCGGAGCAGCAACCCGCGCTCGACGACAAAGTCCTGCAAAATCCCTCGTGACGCGGCCGAGAGGGTTCCCCTGCGGGACCGATGCGCTCGACAGGTGGCGTCGTTGTCGGGGATCTCGACTGCCTACCGAGGTCCTTAGAGAACGAACCCAGGTTAAGTGCAGGTTGATGGTCCAGGAGAAACGACAAACCTTATATTATATGAGGGGAGCGTATGTGGTATGTAAGTCATAATACTGACGGTAATATCTGCAATAAGAGTATGTGATTATGATAATGATTGAGAATATATCTATGTCCCTAAGTAAGTAGTAATAAGTTGGTAGAAGAGTATGTAATTGTAATTAGTAGGTCTGATTGGTTGTAACTTAGGTAAAGCGCATAGAGAGTTAATGAGGTGTTAATGGGTTATCTTTCTTATTCCTAACAGGTCTTAAAAAGAGATATAGAAATGGCGGACGTTGATGGTATTGAGCGAGACCCGGCCGCTATGTCAGAGGATATCGTCAAAGCAATAGAAAAGAGAGAGTTGGCGAGACTGCAGGTCCCAAAAGTTGACATCTTTTTATTCAAAGGAGAGAAGGTGTCTGAGTGGCTGAAACTATTCGAGCAAGTCATCAGCGAGGCGTCTGAGACAGATAAATTCAAATTGCTGCCCAGATATGTCTGTTGGGAGATCCAGCCAGAGATAATGAAGGTGGCTGCTGGAGCAACAGGGGTTTGGGCAAGTTTTAAGGAAGAGATGCAAAGGTGTTTCAAGTTGGGAGATGGTCTGCTAAGGAAAGCAGACCTGGAAATGTTACATCGGAATGAGCTCACCACATTTGCGACAGCTTTCGAGAAGATGGCGAAGAAGGTCCCTGGCATGGCCGAAGAGGAGCAGTCCGCGACTTTCCTGAGGCACTTCACAAATTTTGAGGCCTCTGCGTTAACCAAAAAAGGAGCCCAAGGAAAGAAACTCACTTGGGCCACAATAAAATAAAGTGTAATAGACGGGAAATTGGACCAAGTGGACCTCTTCCAGATGCGGCAGGCAAGAAAGAAAAGAAAGGCCATGGACGCCACGACAAGTAGCGGCCAGGACCTTAAGAAAGTCGTAGAGGAGGTAGTGGCCCAACTTGAAGCCACGAAAGAGGCGAATTCTGCCAAAACGGTAATGACAGTAACGCAGGTCCAGGGAAGAGCGAAGAAGGCAGTGGTACAAGAAGAAGAAGAAGACGAGGAAGAACATGAACCTCGGAAGTTAACAAAGACACAAAGGAAGGACATAAATCTGGCCCAAGGAGGATAAGGCTCAGGAAGAGGTCAAGGTTCGAAAGTAACAGCAATGCCACCGCCTGAGTCACATGGCCAGGTAGGGCTATCACCCTATGGGCCATGGTCGGGCTATGGACCTCCAAGCCCCTGGCACGAGTATAATCCATACGCGCCATGGCCGGTAAGTGGACAACATGGACCCTGTACAGGGGCTCCATTAAGTATGGCTTCTTGTGGGTGTCTGGGACCCCAATCCCAACAAATGAGTCAACCAAACCTGCAACCGAGTCATCCACAACAGTCGACGCCGCAAGGATCACAAGGAAATCAACGTGGCGGATGCGGACAAGGTCAAGGATGTGGTCGAGGACGAGGAAATGAGGACCGCGGATGCGGCGGCAGAGGAAATGGAAATGGTAACTCCAACGGAGAAGGAAACGTGGATTGGAACGCGTCAGGAAGTCAAGGTGGTCAAGAAGGTGGGCGAGGTTTTGGTAGAGGATGAATAGATTGACGAAATGCGATTTGCTGGCACTGTGGGCAGAAAGGCCATACGATTAAGTTCTACCGTGTTCGCAGAAATGACGAGGATGAAGGGTTGATTAGTACGAATTATGATGGCGATATGTACGATAAGTTTGGATACTACATTGACCCTAAGACTCCGGAAGGGATAAGAAAGGAGGCCTTGCGACGAACCGAGACCGGCATGTCACCCGCTCCTCCAGCTATGTTCCGGATTTGGCAAGAAGAGTAGGCCCGCCCTGATGTGAGGGTGGAAGAAATAGGAGAGAATGAGAAGGTGGAGCAAGAGAGAAAAGTTGACACTATGAAGGAAAAAACTATTGTGGTATAGTCGGGCGATGAGGAGGAAAGAGGCAGTTGGATTGAGGCAAGAAGGACGATGGAAAAAGTGGAGGATCTGGTGGCAAGAATAGGAAGATATTAAGATAAATTGACCAGTATGTATGAGGAGGTCAAGGAATGGAAAGGTAAAAGGCCGCTGGTATATCTCTACAATATGGGTCCAGCGGCGCAAGGAGGGCTTGAGAACTTACCAAGCGTAACGATTTCAGGACTGACGTCTCGATCCCGGATGGCCTTTAGGCCACCGTCAAGGTTGGGAAGGGCGCCACAGGCAGTCAGGACAAGGGCTAAGGGGCCGGTGAGCTCCAATCAGCTATCTAAAGATGTTCATGAGCCTAGTGGGGAGAAAGGGACTGTGGACATCCCGGAGGATGAGGATGAGGAGGATGAGAGGTTGAGAAGAGAAGAGGATAAGAGAGTCGAGCAGAGGGCCAAAAAGAGGGGTGTTAAGGCTGACATGGACAGAGTTCCAGAAGGGAAGAAGAAAAAGTACACTGTCTGAGTGGAAGAAGGATATGATGTGGAGGAAATGATTGACAGGATCCTTGAGGGCCATAATTACCTTATGAACCTGAAGGATGTCCTGGCTTCAGCCCCAAGGCTTCGAGACGAGCTCAAAGCACGACTGTCCAGAAAGATGGTGGCTAGCGTGCGTCTGGGGGCCATAATCCCCAAGGAAGCAGAATGGGCGGAGACAGGCATGAAGATGGATTAAAAATTCGTCGCATGTGGGTGTTTGGATGTGATAGTGAAAGGAAAGACATGCACGACGATGGTGGATACTTGCGCAGAAATGAACCTCATAAAGGAGGAGCATGCTTTGCGTCTGGGAATGAAAATTGATCGCTCCGATAGTGAAGTACTGATGAGAGCGAATAGTCGTTCAATGTTTGTGGGGACCGCATCGGGAGTAATTTTGAAAATTGGCAAGGTCAAAGTGAGAAACTATTTTTTTATAATGCCTGATCTCGATCATCCCATGCTATTGGGCCGATCCTTTTTTTAGCAGAACAGAGATCCTCATACTTAACAAGCATGATGGGACAATGTTCCTCGTCCTATGCGACCCAGTGTGTGACAATTATGAGGTTATCACATGCAGGAATACGGGGCCGCGAAGTATAAGGAACCGGCCCAATCCTGACTCTTTCACGATTGAAGAGTCGGAAGAGGAGAGAAGGAGGTTAAGAAGGGATGAGTTTGAAGGAGAGAGACAACCGAAAGCGCTGACCCTTAGCTTAGCAAGTATACAAGATGCAATGGACATAGTGTCGACCTACGGGATGGCGGACCCAGAGGTTGTAGAGGCCCTGAAAGAAAAGGTAATAGAACAAATGGGTGAAGGAGAAACGGAATTGGTATATCGAGTGCCTGGAAGGGTAGGAGGACCGGTAGGAGCCTATCCCCAAGGTGCAGCTCGAACTTTTTTAGGGGTAGGCTCAAGCAAGGGTCACAAAGGTGGTACAAAATGAAAGATAAAAAATGTCGCCCTGTTTCTGTGCTCGTGACTGAGGAACAAGAGGTTTATTACGAGCGGAAACGAGAGTTGATACGACAAATGCAAAAAAGTGCAGAGAATAGACTATGCCGTATCAATCAGGAAACAGAGGAAGCGTTAATAATAGGAGAGTCTGGTTTTCTTACAGCGCAAGAAAGGCAGTTGATGGTGGAGACCATAAGAGGAAGACATACTGCATATGTCGTCAATGATGACGAACGTGGCCGTCTTGATGTTCACAAGATTCCGATGATTCGGATACATACCGTGTCACATGAACCTTGGAATCTGTGAGGTGCACGATATCCTAATCCGGCTGATGAGGAAAAAATGGTAAAATACCTTGATGGGAAGATCCGCACGCATTTGTTAGACTACTCGAGTGGACCATATGCATCCCCTTGGTTTTACTTCCTCAGACCAAATGGAATTTTGCGATGGGTACAGGACCTGCAACGACTAAATGTTCTGATTGTAAGAGATGCAGGTGGTCTGCCGAATGCTGATGCACTTTCGGAAGTCTGTGCAGGACAATCTATAATTTCACTCATAGATCTATATTATGTTTACGACCAGTTTCTTGTTTACCTGTCGGACAGACCTATGACGATGATGCATACTCCTCGGGGTCTGATCCATATGAATGTCGCATCACAAGGGTGGACGAATGCGGTCGCAATAGTTTAGAGGTATATGGTAAGGGCAATGCAGTCAGTAAGTCCTCATATTACACAGCCGTACATTGATGATCTGACTGTGAAAAGCTCAAAGGAGAAGAATGAGCAAGAGGTGATGTCAGGGATTAGACGATTTGTCTGGGATCATGTGCAGGATCTATGCAAGGTCATAGACTTACTAAAAGAGCATAACCTCACTGCGAGTGGATCGAAATCTGAACATTATATGCACGGAGTGACAATCTTAGGGTTTGTGTACGACGAGAGGGGTCGTCGTCCAGAGACTAGGAAGACCAACAAGACTCTCGAGTGACCAACACCATTTGAGACTATCACGGAAGTAAGGAGCTTCCTAAGAACATGTGGTTTTTTAAGGGTGTTTATTAAGGGGTTTGCGGCTAAGACCGAGCAATTGCGAAAACTTATACGCCAAGGTCAAGATTAAGAATGGGGAGATAAGCAGGAGTTGGTAATTAAAAGCCTGAAGAAAGAGTTAAAGGAAGGAGGGTTAGTGTTGGGGGTGCCAGATCATGTTCCCTCCCTAATAAGGCCTTTTATTGTAGAAACTGATGCTGGACCAACTGCCTTGGGGTGTGTATTGATTCAAAAAGATTTTAAGGGAGAAGAGCGACCTTTGAGATTTGAAAGTGAACGCTTAACACAACTGAGAGAAATTACTCCCAAACTTTGACAATTCTTCATTGCTTACGAATTTTCAGAAATTACCTCTTTGGCGGAAGGTTCGTGCTAAGAGTTGACCCAACTGCTCTGGCAGGTTCACTTAAGAATTTCGCTCCTTCGGATCCAATTATTGTCATATGGCTAACATACATCTGGATGTCTGATTTCCAGTTTGAGCGTATTCCAAGGGAAAAAAATAGGGCAGATGGGTTAAGTCGTGTCGACTGGAACAAGAGCAATAAAGGGGTAGTCGAAAATACTCCGCCAGTCGATGAATTTCTGAACAAGGAAGAGGATGTGAGACTCCACATTAACTCCTGGTCGCTGGTCGTGGGTGAACATATTACTTTTGGACGACCTATATGGCTTGCACATCCAGGTCATGTACAACGGTCAGGCATAGTCCTCAAACCGTATATTGAGGAAGATTCATGTGGGATTCCTGGAGTAGAATGGATGATGAATTTGACCCTAGCAGACAAGTACCAGTTGCATGAGGACTTGGTTACAATGGAGAATGGGGCCCGACAAGTGGAAATGCATGAGCGATTAGTAGGTGGAATATACCTTCTGGCAAACTCGCTGCTTCAGGATGAAGTTGCTAGGATTAAGGAGGAAAGACAAAATAGAGAAGAGAATGTGGTCCACGAAGAAAAGGATGACGACATTGAAGAAGGAGAGATAAAAGAGGCATTTCGCGCAGAAGAGTATGATGGAGTATACCTGGAACTAGGGATGCTCCTTTCATGTGAAATGAGAGAAAGAAATGCTAGCAAAAAGTCTTTAAGATGCGGCCAAATTTCCTGGTGAGAGACGATCATCTGTTCATGAGAAATAAAGGAAGGAATCTCATAAGTGTAGTCTGCAGCGTAAATCGACCAACTGACGTTATGGCCGCCCTTCATGATGGAACGACATGTGGTCATAGGAGCGCAGATGCGTTGTACTTAAAGATTTATGATTTATATTATTGGGATGACATGAAACACGTGATTGATAATTATTGTAAGTCTTGTGTACCATGTCAGAAGTGGTCTTCCCTTAGACCTAGGGAACCACTTCACCCTAGATATATGCCTGAGGTTGGAGCGGTCGTCCATCTGGATCTATTGGCAATGTCGTTAGGCATAAGAGGGTTTAATTATATCTTTGATGCACGAGACAATCTCTCAGGATTTGTGGATGGCAAGGTTATTCGCACGAGGACAGGGGTGGTATTGGCTCGGTGCATTGAAGAATACTACCTTCGCTATCCTTTCGTATCAAAAATCGTAATGGACAGAGGGTCCGAATTCACTTGTGCGGAAGTGAAGACGCTGCTGAGGGGATATGGTGTGATTGCCGAGTATACGACTGCGACACACCCTCAAGCTAACGCACAAGTGAAAAGGGGACACAGTACAATTACAAATCTCCTCTCGAAATGGACAGATGACAGACCTAATCAGTGACCAACTTTTCTGAGAGTTGGCTTCTTCGTGGAGAATATCACTGTCAGAAGGACTATCAACTATACGTCGGCTACACTGTGGTATGGCAGACATGCGACGTTCCCTATAGAAAGTTTCCTAAAGACTTTGAGACGACAAAACCTCAAAACGACCTTGTCTTTGAGGAGTTGCTTGATTTAAGGGCACGTCAGATTAGAGTCATAGATGATAGAGTTCAAGAGGCGGCGAGTAGAGTGGCTGATAGTCGAACCAAGGATAAGTTCAGGTGGGACCAGTTGGCACGAGTAAGAAAGAAACCTATAAAGGTGGGGGATACAGCGTTGCTGTACGACTCACCCCTAGAGAAGCAGTGGTCAAGGAAGTTGGACAAGCGGTGGTTAGGGCCGTACAGAATCGCAAGATGTGGCGAGCATGGGGCATACCAGATCGAGGAGATGAATGAAACGACATGGAAGGATTGGGTATCTGGCTCGAGATTGAAGAAGTTTGTGGCACGAGATGAGGTGAGCATGGAAATGACAAGCCATGTGGTTTCTAGCAGTAAAGGGAAAACCTTAGTATAGCAGAGAAAAGAAACGTAAATTGTCAGGTTAGAATGGTATGATAGAATAAGGATAGGGTTAAGTATATATATATATATATATATATATATATATATATATATATATATATATATATATGTATAAGTATTTAGGTAGCTATGGGAGGACTATATATGTTTCTTACTATGGTTTCCTGATATGCTTACCCCCTGTGCTCCTGCTGTCTCTTCCTTGTTGTGCAGCTTGATACCTTTGACAGCCATGCCAAGAGGGAGAGGCGGGGCAGGACCGATGGAAGTTCTTATGGGGACTACCAGTAAGAGGGGGCAGCAGAGGACCACTAGAGAGAACAGGCCTCCTATTTTCGATGGAGGGAGTGTGGAAATGTTTTTGGTCAGGTTCGAGGCCCATGCATATTAGTATGGTTGGGGTATGACCAGGATGTTGGTTGAGGTGTGAGGCAGTGGTGAGTGGGCCGAGCCCATCGCGAGATTTGTCAAGGAGTCACTTACTTGGCAGAAGTTTGAGAGGAAGATGGAGGGGTTGCATCCATCGCCTACAAGGAGAGACGGATTGCCTATTCGCTTTGACTTCTCCAACTTGGAAGAGTTTCTCGGGGCCTAGGATCTGTTCACAGACGAATAAAACATTCTGCCCAACTCCAGAGTTGGAGGTTTCATTCAGTTTGTAAGAAAGACCATCAGGTCTTTTGTCAGGACTATTGTGGAAAGAGCCACAAATTGGGGTGATTGCAAACGCCTATTAAGGAACTACTATACTCCTGAGCGCCAAGAAGAGAACAAGAAAGGGATGGAAAGGAAAACGAGAGAGCCAAAAGGAGCAGAGGGGCGAGCAATTGCACATGATGCACTCCATGGAGATACTGTCATGTCGTAGGGCCTCGCGAGAGGTACGGTTAGCGCACTCGGCCGGAGCGGCAAACGCTCTCCGCGACAAGTTCTGCAAAATCATGCGTGACGCGGCCAGGAGGGTTCCCGTGCGGGACCGATGCGCTCGACAGACACGCGCCTTGAAGGGTTAATCGCTCGACGCTAGACAACCGCCAAGGCGGTTGATCACCACACAGGTTCATACCTGTGGTGGTAGTTGTCTCTCGAGGCCTTGGAGGCAGACTCCATCATTCAGGGCCTGGAGAGAAATCAAGGGGTTTGATTTTTACGGCTGCCACATACGACAACGTCAAACCATTATAATTCTAAAAAGTAGAAGGGTAAAAGGGGATCTCTCTTTTCTCTCAAAGCATAATCTGTTTAACCCTTACACACGGTCACAGTAGACAGCACAAACACCCAAGACATATGTATGCACACATATAAAAGGGGTATATAATATGGGACGATCACTTCTCACAATCACAGTGACACTCCTCCCAGCCATATATATGTGTGTGACCGCAATCAGTTTCATCCAAAGTCCGAATCACAGAGCATATAAGTAATCACATCAAAGATTCGCCAAAAAGTCCATGCACTACACAGGGTCAACTTCAACCATTCTTTGCACTCACATCCCTCGCTTTAGTCATACAAGCAATCACTCTTTGTGCAACTCCTCAAAATAAAATACTCACTATCTTTGTTAAATGGTCATTCAATAAAGTTTGGCTGAAAACTCAACGAAACAATTCAAACCACAGGAACTAACCTTTAGGTTGAGTTAGCGAGAGTGAATTGGAGTTGAATCGTAAACTAACGAATTGACAACTGACTTGTTATCAGTGATAACAAAAGAAGATCCTCGTGGGATCAAGCTGAATCTGGTCCAAGTCCTGAATCGAAATGATCAAGGGGACCTGTAACACATGACAGGTTAATGTCAAAGACTAACTATTAGTGTATGGGTAATAAATCTTCAGAACACATTCTCGCTCAAGATTCTCCTGCTAACTAAATCTAAGTCTACCTCTAAGCCATTGCCCAAAGAAAGGTAAATCTTTGGCAGAATCTCTCTTATTCAAGATCGCCAGAATTGTCACCTGTCAAAATATAATCTAACTCTTTTAAACTAAGAAAATTCTGACAGCTCTTCCCGTAGGAAAAATGTCTTTTTATAATTTGTACTAGCTCCAATATGAAAAGATGAAATAATCTATAACTCTGGAAATCCAATTTTTGTCTAACTCCCTGAAGTAGTAAAAATTTTGGCAACATATCTTTTAAAAAAAGTAGACTTCTCATATTTGTACTAAGTCAAATAAAAACTCGAACATAAAACTTGAGTTTTATCAAGATAAAACTTAACTAATCCCTTAGATTTGTAAAAATTTCGACAACGCTTCCCGTAAAGAAAGTAGTTTTCCAAACTTTATACAAAGCTACGTTAAGAACCTGAAATAATCTTGATTTCTCAAACTCAAATTTTGTCTAACTCCCTGAATTAGTAAAAATTTGGGTGACACTTCCCATAGAAAATAAGGTTTTTCGGATCTTTACTAAGCCAGATATAAAACTTAGACAAAAATTTAAATCTTTGAAAGTCGGATTTGACTAACTCTTTGGTTCTGTAGAAATTTCGGTAGCACTTCCCGTAGGAGAAGTACCTTTCCAAGATTTATACAAAGCTAAGTATAACAAATGATCCCAGAAAATGCGGGAATTGACCTAAGTAAAAAAACATTAGCTCAGAAAATGCAGAAATTGAACTAACTCCTAAAGTTCTAGCAGGTGGTGAGCAACTAAAGTAACTACCTGTCAAACTGAAACTCGGACTAAGTAGAGATCCTACTCATCCACATCCAAGGCCAAACCACAATGGTAAGTACTCTCACCAGCCCCAATGTCAAACCTTGTCAAACAATAGTTCACAGTCTTTATATGATTTGTCTCTTATACCTAGCTTACATAGGACGTAAAGCTAGACCATCCAAACTTATGGAAACATGTATAGCTCAGTCATTGGATATACACAAAACACAGGCCACCACAACTTTTTTCTTCCTTGGGCATATGACTAGGCTGTCAAATCTAGTCGCCCTGATCTGTTTAAAATATTCAAGTTATATATAACTTTTTGCATCTTAGTCTTTTAAGGCAGCATATGATTGAACCGTTCAACTTAAAAACAAGGTTCAACCTACCTCTTCTTACCACCAGTTACTCTTAATTGATAATTTCTTTCGTTTTGTGATAAACTATAGTCAGAACATCCAAACTTATGGAACAATCTCTGACTAGTCTGTTCATAAATTAAATAGTATAAAGGTATAAACAAATCTACCCTTCTGGTTCCAGCATGTGCGTGTTTTAGACCATATCATCCAAACTTTGGAACTTGTCTAGCCCTTTGCTCGATCTCCCCTCATAATAGACAAAGAAGTTAGAGTCATCCAAACTTATGAAACCATTGTTGAATTCCTTTCAAAAGTTAATAACCATCAGAAACCCCAAATAAAACAAGGCAACAAAGTCATCCAAACTTACGAAAATTTGCTTGGTCCCTGAAAAACAATCACATACACAAGTCAGAGCAACTAGAGCATCCAAACTTATGAAAACGTGTCTGATCCTCCATGCAATCGAAAATAAACATAGCACAGAGTCGTCCAACTTAGTGCAATGTCCGACCTTTGATTAACCCGGTCAATCGCAAACAATACCACCTTCCTCCCGCTTTCCCCCTAGGTACAAACTATTTTCACAATTTGATTTCAGGCAAACAAAAAAAACAAAACTGAAATTGTTCACGCATTTCTTTACTCAAGTTTGATTTTTGTCATGAACGTCAAACATAAACTCAATATGGGGCAGAGAGCGCAAATGGGTAACCGTCACCCGTACCCGACCGCACCCAACTGTAACCGCCAGGTCATGGGTAGGTCTGGGTGCCCCTTTCCGAAGGGGGGGTTGGTTATGGGCAGACAAATTTTATTTTTCAGGAGATGACGAGTAGGCACAGTTAGTATTTATGAAGATCACGGGCAGGTAGGGCCAGCCAAATATAAAACTAAAACCGGTACGGACAGGTACGGGGGGCAGACAAAAAAAATGGGGGGCAGGTACGGACGGGTAGAGGATCCACTCGGGTAACCGTGGTTCACTACCCCTTGTATTCCCACCTGCCCCCCTCCCAGCCCTTCCCCCCCCGCCCTTTCCCACCATCTGAAGTCGTAGGCCCATTTTTTTTTTTTTTTTGCAGTTGCTGCAGGGATTGCATATGCTGCTGCAGTAGTTGCATTGACATCATTTCCGCAGTTGCTGCAAGGGTTGCATATGTTGCTGCGGTTGCAGATGCACCACATCTGCAACAGCACATCTACAGATGCACAACAAATGCACCACATTTGCTGCAGTTGTTCCATTGACATCATTTCTGCAGTTGCTGTAGGGGTTGCATCTGTTGCAGATGCACCACATCTGACTATCGCTGCAGTTGCGACAACAGCTGCAGTAACTAGCCGAAAGGTTGTGAGGGGAGTTAGAGTCGGTTGAAGGTTTTTAGGGGCGGTTAGAACAGTTAGGAGCAGTTAGGGGCAGGTAGGGGAGGGTGGGTAACAGGTGCGGGCGGTTACGGGTAGGTGCATACAATTGTGGGTAGGTGGGGACGAGTACGACTGAACACGGGTAAGGAAAATTTCGGTCGAGCATGATACGGGTGGTTCAGACACGATTTGGGTTCAGTTAGCCATGGTTGGTTAAAAAAAAAAAAAAAAACAAGGGCGGGTACGGGTAGTTACAATCTGCAGAGGTTCAGGTATGTGCAGGTACAGGTACCCGTTTTTTTTTCGGATCAGTTGGAGGTAGGTAAAGGTGTGGTACGCCAGGTATATAGTGGTCATGGTTGGTTGGTTTTCGAAAAGTGTGTGGTTAGTTTAGTTACAGGTATTCCTAAAAATCCTGGTTGCGAACTCTGATATGGGGTACATGCCATATACTCAATCAAACTATAGCAAGGTGTACACGTAACGGTACTAACTGGGTTTATAGAAGGGAAAGATGGTTACCTCTCAGTTCCTCACCTCCACAACTCCTTCTGAGTTCTGACCGAGCTCCCACAATCGGTGGGCACACCCCCCACAGAGTCTTCATGCGGTCCTACAAGTTGTAATCCCGTTGTCGGTGCGAATACCCTTACAAGGGTATCCGCCCTGGTTTTTGCAGATGACAGGAAATAAGTTTATCATAAAGTTTAAGTATACCGCGCGAGATGCGGCTGTGTCTGTCGTTTACATTGACTCAATGGTTGACTAGATTAGAGAGTGTGTTTGCGCACAGACTTAAGGTGCGCGTGATCTCCCTTCTTATTTCATGACTATGAAGCCGGCGTTTGTTGCCGACCACGAGTTTTTTTTCTTCTGATTAAGTTAGGAGTAAAAAGATTTTGTCTTGTGATTGGTAGGCATGCCTGTGACTT